ATGGTGGGGGTGCGTGACCCCATCCCAGGGTGCCACATCTGGCCTGAAGATCTCACAGCCCTGCCAGCCTGAGACCTCAGCTCAGGCTGCCGCCACTGTTAGAGGATCCTGCAGCTTGGGTGCAAGGCCCTGCTGGTCTGAGACCCCAGCCAAGCTTCCACTGCAGCCTGGGGATCTTGAGGCTTTGGTGCAAGGCTCTGCCATTCTTAGACTCCAGCCCAAGCTGCGCCCGTGGCTGAGAAATGGTGCCGGGTGCTGGTACCTCCTAGCCAGACACTTCTGGCTGCCACCACTGGGCAGGGTGATGGGCAGGCACCTCCCAGCTAGACACCCTGGACTGCAGCTGCTGGGCAGACTTGGGGACTCAGAAAGGGCTAAGAGGACTGGGTGCTGCCATCTTGTGGCTATGGGTACTGCCATTTTTGTCAAGGAGTGATGGTTAATTTGCAGATTACTCTTTTATTAAATAGGATTATTCTACTTGGGGAACTCTTCTCAAACTCTACAGTGATCGAGTAACCCATTTTACCAGTCAAGTGCTATAAGTCTGCTATTTGGCCAGTTCTACAACATTTTCACTGTGCTTAAAAATCCTGAATCTTTAAGTTTAGTTCCATGTACTAATGGCATATTACAATTCATATCTGTGCCCTTCTTAGGAATTGTCCCTGGCTTAAGGGAGATGTCTTACCCAAGATTATGCCCTTTATCCAGGCATAACCTTTATCCAATGACTTTTGACGGCAGGGTACAAAGATCCAGGATTCTTGCCTCAATTCAGAACAACCATAAAAACCCATCCTGGCTCTGAAACTCCCTGTTGAATTGGTGGAGGCCTTTGTTGCTCCTGCATTGCAGTTCAATTTCTCTTTCTGTCGAATCAGCTTTTTCCCCTGCCCCTCTCACAACACAGCCAAAGGGTGATCCTGAATTATCCTCCAATAAACTTTGTGCATGTAAAAACAAAACAAAGATTCAAATGGCAAAATTTGTAGAAACTCCTCAAATTCCTCGCCAAAAGGAATTTTTCCTTTCAAATCTCAAATATCCCTCTTTTGGGAATCATAAGCTTTCACTTTTCGAGATAATTACAAGATATCCCATTTGTTTGGCTCCTGCTTCTTCAGACCAAAAGTTGGAAAAAGGAGACATGAATATTATAAATGCTTCATTGTTTTTAATGAAAATAATCACAGTTTTGTAGAGTAATCTTTTTACAGCACACCAACAAAAAATTCAAATGTGTATACATTTTAGATACACAGTAATATTTTCTAGTTCCTGCTCTCCCAATAGTCCCCAACTCCAGATTATTTTATGTTGTTTCTGATGACATTGGGTTGTTAACATACATACAGTAAGCAAGAGGTTGTCCTGGACTAGGATCTGAAGATAGAAATGAAAATCTAGACAAAATGCTTGCTCTCTAGGAGCATATATCCTAATGGGGGGAGGGGGGAGGAGGAAAAGAGCCACCCTCACAGCATGGCCCTTATATTCTCTCATAGAGATTTGGAAATATCCAATAATTTTTAGTGTTGACTAAAATAATATATAAAAAAAGAAAATTAACATCAACTGAGTGTTTTGTCACCAAAAAAGAATTTATTTAGGAAAAAGAAGGCCATTGCAACCCAATGTATGCAGACATGGCAAGTGAAATACATACTCCAGTCTGTGTGCCAAGATGGAGGAGTATTTTTGTAAAGGAAAGGGATGGGGAAGTTAGAACATAGAGCTTTATTATAAACATAGAATTCTTCCTGTGTAACGTTCTTGTGATTATGTAGAGCAGTGGTTGGCAAACTCATTAGTCAACAGTACCAAATATCAAGAGAACAGCGATTGACATTTCTTTTGAGAGCCAATTTTTTAAACTTAAACTATATAGGTAGGTACGCTATTATTACGTAACTTAATTAGGGTACATGGTATTTTGTGGAAGAGCCACACTCAAGGGGCCAAAGAACAGCATGTGGCTCGCAAGCTGCGGTTTGCAGACCACTAATGTAGAGTATGAGTACTTCCATAAGCCCTAGATCTAACCATAGGCCCTGCCGTCCCAACTTGCCCTGGATGGGTAGCTTAGTTTGTTAGAATTTCCTTCTAATACCCCAATGTTGCAGGTTTGATTCCTAGTCAAGGCATATACAAGAATCAGCCAATAAATGCATAAGTAAGTGGAACAACAATTCAATGTTTCTCTCTCTCCCTTCCACTTTCTCTCTCTAAAATAACTTAATAAATAAATAATAAAAAAGAGATGACTATATAGAATATAGTTTGTTGCATAGTATATATTCACCACTCTAATCCTTTAATGATATTTATCACATCCTTTTTACCTTGTTTTGTAGACTTTTATACCTACCTTATATCTTCGTTATTGGTCTGAAGGCTACCTGAAGTATAAAAAAAGTGTTAAGAAAGAATGATTTTTGTTTTGTCCATCCTCATGTATTAAACTCCTAAAATAATGCTAGGTTAGGGCCAGGAGCCCTCTGAGTTTCAGGATGTTGGATAACCCCAATATTATCAAGGAGAAATGTAACACCTAGTTCTGGTCTTGCGAACAGGGTGAGTGGTGGATAACTGCTTTGCTACAGCCAAGATTCCATCTGCATGAGCTGAAATTTTGTCTTTTTTAGTCAATTGCCAGTGCTGTGGGTAGGGCCTAATCTCCCTGAGTGTCAGGAGTAGTAAAAGTACCTAAAACAGCAATTTGTATTCTAAAGTCTGTGTTATATTGCAATCAGTTTCCAAATTGGATAAAAAAAAAAAAAAAGATCTCTACAACAAAAATCAAAATAACTTCCACATGTCTTAAAGTTTACTACGCATTTTGAAATTAAAAAAAACATCCAAATCATACTTTTATTGATTGTGATTATATTTGCAGTAAATATATAAAACAGACAAGATTTGCACCAAATTCATGATAGTGTCTCTCCCTACAGAGAAAAGGAAACATTATGGTACTAGAAGAAATTTATAATGCTCTAACTTGTTAAAAATATAAATCTGTATCTAAAACAAAAATGCAGCCCTAACTTGTTTGGCTCAGTGGATAGAGTGTTGGCCTGTGGACTGAGGGGTCCCAAGTTCGATTCCGGTCAAGGGCATGTACCTTGGTTACAGGCCCAACCCCAGTGGGAGATGTGCAGGAGGCAGCTGGTCGATGTTTCTCTCTTCTATGTTTCTAGTTCTCTATCCCTCTCCTTCCTCTCTGTAAAAAATCAATAAAGTATATTTAAAAAAATAAAATTTAAAAAATGCAAAAATGTTGGCATTTGTTAATTTTAGATGAAGGTAAACAAATGTTTGTTATATATTTTATATTTTTCATATTGTTTTAATTTTTAAAAATAAAAAAACACAAAGAAGTTAAAATACCATTACTGCTTATGACTTTATTATGTTTTCAGAATTGAATATATCTAGGACATATGCATGTGCAACAAACAAGTACATAAAACATCTGAATAACACAATTGAGAAGCATGATAATAGATAAAAGTTTATCTTTGTATTTCATAGAGAATATACATTCTGTTTTAATGAAAGGTTTAAACAAACCAATTACCATTGAAGAATTAAGAAAGCTGATTAAAGATCTGCCAACAAAAGTGTCACTGGGCTTAGATTATTTTACAACTTAGTACTAGCTAATTTTTAAAGAACAAATAATTCTAAAGCTATTTAAACTATTCCAGACAACAAGAAAATATTGAAAATTCACCAACTAATTTTCTAAGCTAGCACAATTTCAATTAAAAATTTTGATATAAACAATGCAAAAAGGAAAAAAAAAAAACCAATTTCACTTTGAAATGCAAATAGAATAATTCTAAATAAAACATTGGTAAATAAAATTCAGCAATACATTATATGGTTATTACACCATGCATGACCAAGTAGGATTTATTCCAGAAATACAAGTTTGGTTCAACATCAAATTCTTACCACTCTAATTCAATATGTCAACAATTTAAAGGGAAGAGTCCTAAAATTTTATCAATAGATGCTGAAAAGACATTTGATAAAACTTATGAGATATTTTTAGTAATAATGCTTTAAATAATAGGAATAGAAGCAACTCCCTAAACACGTTAGAAGTTAATGACCATTTACCAGTAACTAAAAGCAAATGTCATATTAACAGTGGATAGTAAAGAAAATTCCATAAAAGTTAAGAACCAGATGGGCATGTCTGCCATGATCATTATTCAAGATCAAAGATTCAAAACTGTTTTAGAGAATCCAGCAAATGTAATAATAATCAATATAAACATTAGAAAAATAAAATTACCTCTATTTGCAGGTGAACTGATTATATCTATTGATAGAATGTCAAAAATATTCTATTTATAAAACCCAGTGTAATTTACAAGATTTAGTAAGCTGATTAAAAAAATAAAAATAAAAAAAGATATATAGTTTGTCTATATAGGCAAAAATAGCAAGTTATAAGTGAGCAGGAGAAAATTACCCATTCAGAATGTCAAAATATGACAAAAATTGTAAAAATACTTAGAAATGAATTTAATCTGATATGATGGACCTAGATGAAGAACATTATAAAATCAAAACCAAACGATTTTAATGATGTACCCAAACTCTTGAATGTTAAAGTTTAATATTATTAACATAATCCTCTAAATATATAAAAATGTAATACAATTCTGACTAAGATATTCATTTTTTTAAATGTGGAAAGAATGCCTTTAATTTTCATATAAAAGAATGAATGGCCGAAACCGGTTTGGTTCAGTGGATAGAGCGTCGGTCGGTCTGCAGACTGAAAGGTCCCAGGTTCGATTCCGGTCAAGGGCATGTACATTGGTTGCGGGCACATCCCTGGTGTGGGGTGTGCAGGAGGCAGCTGGTTGATGTCTCTCTCTCATCGATGTTTCTAGCTCTCTATCCCTCTCCTCTCCCTTCCTATCTGTAAAAAATCAATATATATATATATATATATATATATATATATATATATATTAAAAAGAATGAATGGATAAGACAAGTTATATAAATGAAGGAAAAAAAAAAAAACTAATGAGAGGTAACTTGCTTTACCAGAGTCCAAAATTCAAGGTTAAGCCACTACAGTTAAAATAATGTGACATGGGTCAGAAATTGGAAAATGGGTGGTTTTTTAAATAAATGTATAGTACAATCAGTTACCCAATGTAAACAACATGTATAGTTGGCCATCTACTTTATACCATATAAAAAAGAATTTTCAGTTGGATCAAACAGTGAAACCTGAACTTTTTAGAAAAAAAAAATGCAGGTGTATATTTGTATGACTTGGGGTTGGGACATTCATCTGAAAAAAGACAGAAAACCCAAACCAAAACAAACAAACAAACAAAACCCCAACAACTAAAAAGGAGAAAGTGGTCTATCTAAAAAAAAAATTTAACCTGAAAAGTAAAATATACCATCAATAAAGTCAAGATTAATGATAGGATAGAAAAATCATAACGCATATGGGCTACAAATGATTAATATGTTCATATACACCATATACTAAATATAGTAAGAATTTATAAGGAAAAGATCAAAGATTCAAAATAGATAAATGAACATAGGGTAAACACTGGCAAATCACAAAAGAGAAAAGTCCAAAAAGCAAAACAAACAAACCCCCCTAAAAAGAAACCAACAAACAGAAAACCTCATTGAGTTTGCCAATTAAAGAAACAATACAACAAATTTCTGCCTTTCAAATTTGTAAAAAAGAGTGCTGAAGAGGATGCTGGAAAATAAGAATTTTCATTTTAGGTGATACATTTGCAGTACCTTTAAACATTAAATATAAGCCTACCTAGCAATCTCATTTCTAGAAATGGACCCTATAGAAATGAAAGCACTAGTTAAATAAATATGTACTATGTATGCAGCTGTTAGAGGCAGGGGGGAGAGAGAGAGAAAGAGACAGAGAGAGAGAGAGAGAGAGAGAGAGAGAGAGAGAGAGAGAGAGAGAGAGAGAGAGAAGAAGGGTGGAAGGGAGGGAGGGAGGAAGAGGGAGAGGGAGAGGTAGGAATGGGTGATTTATTTACTAAATGTGCTGGCACAATCAGGTATCCAATGTGAATAAAATGTATAGTTAAATCTCTATCTTATACCATATACAAAAATAAATTCCTGAGAGGGAAGTGGATGTTGTATTTAATAAATGTAATGGCATGATCAGGTATCCAATGTGTACAAAATATATAACTGGACCTTTATCTTAATATTATATAAAAAATAAATTCCAGAGGGAGAGGTGGGGAGGGAAAGAAGGATAGAAAAATGAAGGGAAAGGGAGAAATATCTGCAGCTACTGATCAGAAAGAATTAAGAAAAGCAATGACAAAGAAATGATGTGGCTTGTCATTTTTTCAGAAACAACTGCAACAAACTTTTTGTAAAAGGATTGGAAAATAAACATAGGGTGTGCATTATGTTCTTAACACTTGTTATCTGAGGAAAAGAAATAAGGAAGGTCAGGGAAAAGGGGGAAGGATATGGTGAGGGAGTACACCATTAATTTTTCTTTAGTTTTTCACTGTTCTGATCATAATGAACACTTTTCAATTTCCTATGAGCACCACCCACTTTAAATTTTTCCATTTCAGAACAAGGCAATATCGGAGGAACCAAAGCACACTTGGGCAAAACTGTGGAACTAGTAAATGTATAAGATTTAGAGGCACAGTAAGTAAAAAGTAATAATAAATTCCTGACTCTCTGATACCAAAGCTGTTCTCAAAAGTACAATTACAGTAACACGACATATTGTACATTTAATAGTTCCACAAATTTTGCAAAACACACACCATGAATTTAGGGGGTTTTCACCAAACCGTAGACATAAATGTGAATATCATCATCAAACTTAATGAAGTAGACAGACGGCTTGGCCACCACCTGATGGATGAAAATGCCGGTTCTCTTGGACCCATCATCTTTGGCGTGCTCCACCTGCTTGCCCACGAGGCTGTCAATCACTTCTCCAGGCTCCCGCTCTGCTGTGGGGAAATAATAGTTGGATTCTGGAATGATGCGCAGGTCACCATCTTTGTAGTCATCCAGCAGCGTGTACATGTAAAGCACCGGATCTTTCTCGTAGGTGATGTAAAACCAAGTGTCCATCACTGGGGCTCGTGCCAGGACCATGCCCTTCCATTCATCTTTGCTGCCGTGCTCCCCCTCAAACACATGCCCCACAGCCTTGCCAATCAGGGAATCTGCCAGGCGGGAATCAATGCGAGGAGTTGGCACTCTCTCGGGAAGGATCTCAAGTGCTAAAACTCTCTTATCCCGGTGCAGTTCCAGTCCGTACACGCTATCTTTGCCATCGTATTTGATGATGTAGAGGGTGGGCTTCACAGAAACCTGCTCGAGCACCGTCCCTTTCCACTGCTCCACCGGCTCGTTGCCCTCCTTCCAGCCGTGCTGAATGCGGCAGCCCACGATGTTCCTGCGGGTGAGGAAAGTGGGCTTGCGCCGCTGCTTCCTGTGGGTGTGCCTCTTCTTCATCAGGTAGGCAGACACACCATCTACACCCATGGGAGGCACAGTTGGGGGCGACATGGTTCGGGGTTTTAGGAGGCTTTGGCAAAGTTGCCACTGACTTGCCCGATTAAGCTGAGAGAAAGCCAACACCCTCCAACACGAACTTTTTTTTTCGTGATTTCTTCACCAGCGCTTGGCAGAAACGCTCTAACTCTAAACTTGGGACTGCGTGGGCCTCTGGATACAGTTCTCTCCCGCCGGGGGTGGGGAGGGGTGTCTGCAGCAGCGGCGGAGGCTGTTGCTGGGATGGCGCGCTGGCTGCAGCCCGCGCCCAACTCCCGCCCAGACTCTCAACCCCAAGTCCCGAAATGACCACTTAGCTGTTCCGGATGGCGCCGCAGTTTTGAACGGGCGATGCCGAGGGAGACCTTTGGAAGAGCGGGCGAGGGATGAGCGGGATGGATGGCTGCGATCGCGAAGGCGCCAGCGGCGACGGGTCCCGGCGGCCTTGACTTCGCGGCGCCGCGCGGTTCGGCCTAGCTTTGCGCCGGGGCTTTTGCCGCTTCCAAACTGGACCCTCGGAGCCCGCCCGCGCCTCGCCCCGCCCCCCGCCTCCCCCTCCTCCCGCTCCTCCCGCTCCTCACGCAGCCGCAGGGGCCGCGGCGGGGCGGGTCAAGGCGCGCAAACGGTTGGTCCACTGAGTTCCAGGCGCTGGGTCCTTCCTTCCTCACGTGCCCCACGCCCGCTTCCCTCCATCCGGAGCCAGACTGGCCGGCTCCCCTCCTCCCTTTCTCTGGCCTCCCGGCTCCGGCCTGCCTCCTCCACAGCAGCACCATCTGCTTTCTATCTTCCAGGAATTCCTCACAGAGCCTCTACTTAAAAAATAATAATAATATCATTCCACACACTAAGTTTGTGCATGCATATGATTTTCTTTCAGTCAAAGGGAAAGGAGACTAGAGAGGGAAAAGTCTGTGTGCAGTCCACCATCTTGTGCCAAATTATCCTTTATATTTTCTATCGGATCATTCCGGAATGTTTTTTCAATAATCTTTTTTTCTCTGGATGGAAAAGAAAGACATGCAGACATCGTGGAGCTTTACTATTGTACAAACCAGTAAAGGATAAAACTATCCCCAGTATCCTTAATCTTACCATCTAGATATGCACAAAATGTTGCTACACTTTCTCTTTCATTAATAAATAGATGCATATATTTCAGAAAAAAAGGGAGCAGATTTTATTACTGTATAGCTTTTAGTTTTCATTTATATCATGAACATTTTCACAGGTTATTAAATACTCTGAGTAACTGACTTTTTAATGGTTCTGTAATGTTCATTTATATGGGTGGTCCATTAATGGTCTATGAAAATATAGATAATTAAACTAGTATACATTCACACATTGATTAATTGAGCTAGCATAACATATTTTCAAAGAACATTTAGTGACATGGAGGTCTTCATTGAGATAAGAACGATGTGTGGAAAAAGGTTATTGAATAAAAATTGTAGCCCCAATTTTGTAGAGTTAAAAAAGAAAGGGTTTTTGTCATAAATATTTGTTATTTTTCTGACTATAAATATAATACATTCTCATATGGAAAATCTGAAAGATGGCAAAGTGTCCATAATTTCCCTATTTCAAGTCACAGAGTAGTTATGAGGATTAAAAGGGAATGTTTATAAAACTTTTAGTCATATATCCTACTTTATAAGATGTCGATTAAAAACCAGGGAAGTATAGGCCCCTCATTCTCATTCCTCCACTCTTCAGTGGTGAGAAGAGAAGATAGCATATCATCAAGTGTAAAAAAGGCATTAATTCATAGAGAATTGTAGAAAAGCAGGGTGAGAGCTGCAAGGCAACAAAATACTGGCTGTTTCCACATTTCACTAACTTTTAAGACAAGGAGAGAAAAACTTAACATTTGATAGCTAATTGGGCAGAATATGTATTGATTCCTCAGTTCCCCATGTCTCCCAGTCCAAGGACTTTAAAGATGAAATAATGAAATAAATTAATTTCAAGGAAACAAGAAAACATATATACTAAAAGGTATTTCCAAACTCTTTAGAATGGCATAGTGATGTGTACATAGTCACACATATATATGGCCTTAACACTGAAAGTCAGAAGGTATGTGTAAATGTCATGTCATTATGTTTCACAAATAATTTCCCCAGGCAATCCCCCAGACCAAAATGTGCCAAGCTTTTTTTGTTTAGAACAGTTGACAAATGAGAGACCACCCAGAGGGCACACAAAAGCAGGGAAAACAATTTACTCAGACTCTTTGGTTGTATATTTAAGAGAATTCTTGCTCACAGCCCCACAAAACAGCCTGGGAAACAAAAGAATTTTTAATATTCTTTCTTCTCTAAAACTATGATTTTGGTGTTTAGATCATTCCCTAACGTTATGGATTGAGGAGGCCTTACCACACTATGGCAATGTTTACTTTGTCTGTCTGCCCGCTAGACTATAAACCCATTTGAGAGAGGACTTTTATCTTGCAACCCAAATGCCTTACACAGAATAGGTACTTGATGAATATTTGTTAAAAGAATAAATAAGTGGTTTCAGCTGCCCTGCTCAAAAAAAAAAAAAAATGAAACAAGTTGTCTTACACAAGCCTCTCAAGATTGGAGCCCTGGTGATTTAAAATCTCCCACAGCAGTTTTTATACTTTCAAAACATCCAGATCACTGATCCTGTGAATATGTGTCCATAAGTCTGAAAATGACTAGGAAAACATCATTAACCTGCAATATATGTATAATGATATCTACCTCAAATGGTAGCTATAAAGATTAAATTATACAAATACAAGTGAATTTCTTAGCACATGAACTGGCTAATGGTAGGTACTTATAGTCTCCTAACATCTAAACTTATGCTCTCCTTTACACTGAAGCCCTCTTGGTCAGGGCTTGAGTGTGAATCAAAGAGGTACTGTTGGCAGGACTTTTCTCTTATAGCCAGTTTCAGAGCAATCTTTCAAATGCTGCAAGTTTCTGGAAGCTCAATTTCTGGGTAAATAAAAAGTTATTTAAAATACGTTTGGGGGATACAGCATTAATTTATAACTGGAGGGGTAGTGGAAATAAGCATAAATGTTGTTAATTCCATTGTATAAGGCAAATTATAAATACCTGCTGAGAAGTACAAATTAAGGACTGGAGACCCAAAGGAGGTAGTGATTTGTTATAGCTGGGGAAATTGAAATGACAACTTGAAAGTGTAAGGGAAAAAAGGAAGACATTCAGAAGGTGGTAGAATAGTGAGGCCTTTTCAGTATAAGCAGAAAATAGCTGGAGGAAAAGCACAGAGGGATGCATGGATATAGGATATGTGAAAAACCAGTCAGGAGCTTGTGGCTGGAGCACAGATTTGCCAGGATAAGGAATAGGGGATGTGGTTTGTGGTGGGAAGTAAGGCTAGTCAACAGTCTCAAATGCAGGAAATTGATCTTACATCCACTCTGTGTGGAAGCAGATAATGTTCCAATTCTTCTGACAGTGTGGTGTTGGCAGGATTGAAAGAGAGCTAATCTTCCATGTCCCTTCTGGCAGAAGCAAGCAGTGCTTCCCTAAGCAGGAAGTGTTTTCCTGTCAGAATAGTAGTATAGGTGGTGCTGAGCATAGAGCTGATCTTCCATTTCTCCCTTAGCAGAAGTAAGCAGTATGGTGCTCTGATCCCTTTGCCAGAGAAGTGTCAGCAAAATTTAACAGCGAATTATCCCTCCACAGTCATCTGGTGGTAGAAGGTACTGAATAATAGTGATCTCTATTCTATAGCCTTTCTTTACCCGCTCTTCCCATATCAACATAACTATGATGAGAGTAAGCAATGTAGAGTGAGGCAGGGCTAGTTAGCATTCTGTTTCCATAGATCCTTGCTGGCAGTGATTAGCTGAGTTTTCATCCCCATCCACCATCAGTGAGGCTAAAAGAAGGGAACAAGATAGAACTATATGGTATTCAAATTTCCCTACAACTTTGGTGTCATGTCCAGTGGCAGATAAGCCTCCACTCTCACTTGGAGGCAATGGGATTGTATAAGTCAGTACCACACTTTCACCATGAAGAAATTTTCAGATCTCAGAAAGGTGCTAAACTTCTATCCTTCCCACTCATGTGCAATATAGCAGTGTGAGTCAGTTCTCCACTTTTGTAAAGGTGGTCTGTAGAGATCCCATAAGAAGCCTAATATGCACACATACCTTATCCTCCAGCTACAAAACAACAAAGGGGGTATCTGATAAAAGTAGATTAAATAGAACACAGAGATTTATAATATAATACCAAAAACACACACAATGATATAATAAAAATCAAAATTCATGCAAAGAGCAAGGGAAATCAACAATTTGAATGTGACAAGACACTTACCAACTGGAAATTATAGAATTATAAAATAAAGTAAAAGTATGTTGGGATGGAATCAATATAAGTCTAGAGATAACAGAAGATAGAACCAGCACATTTTGGGCCAGAAAAATAAAATTTACCCCATGTGAACAACAGAGAGAAACAGACTGAGGGGAAAAACACAAACAGTCTCAGGAAACTGTGAGCCAACAAAATAGTTAACATTTACAATTGCCTTAAAGGAAGTGAAATTCTTAGCTATAGGACTACCAAAACATGTAAAGAACCTGTATACTGAAAATTAAAAATGGTAATACCAGAAATTAAAGAAGACATAATGGAAGGACATACCATGTTCATGGCTTTGAAAACTTAGCATAGTAAATACATAAATTCTGTCCAAAGTGATCCATAAATTTAATGCAATTTCTAGGAAAACTTAAGCAATGTTATTTGTAGAAATACATAGGATTATTCTTAAATTTATGTGGAAAAGCACAATATCTAGAACAGCTGAAACAATTTTAAAAGAAAAGTATATTGTATAAAGAATCATTCTAACTGAAGTTAAGACTTATGGTATAGCTACAATAATTTAAAAAAAAGGGTGATGTTTACAGAGCAATAAACACATAGATGATGACATAGAAGAGGGAACCCAAAACTTTACTCACACAAATATGTCCAACTGATTTTTGGCAGTTCAAAAGCAATTCAATGGAGAAAGGATAGCATTTTCAAATGGTGCTGAAGGAACTGGACATTACACTGATCCTCTCCCTGCAAAAAAAAAAAAAATGCTACATCTATTAATAAACCTCTTATCTATACTAATAAAAAGGTAATATGCTAATTGGACCAGACATCTTTCCAGATATCCTTTGAGACACCGTCATGGTGTTGGGGGCCAAGGCAGAGGTGGTTAGGGGCGATTAGGCAGGCAGGCAGAGTGGTTAGGGGTGATCAGGCAGGCAGGTAAACAGTTAGGAGTCAGTGATCCAGGATTGAGAGAGGGATGTCTGATCACTGGTTTAGGCCTAATCCCACAGGCTTATCTATACTAATAAAAGGGTAATATGCTAATTAGATTGAACATCCTTCCTGACGTCCTTTCAGACAAAGCCACAGTGGTGGAAGTTGAGGCAGAGGCGGTTAAAGGTGACCAGGCTGGCAAGGGAGAGCATTTAGAGGCAATCAGGCCAGCAGGGGAGGGCAGTTAGAGGCAACCAGGCCAGCAGGCAAGTGA